AATTCCTTAGGATTTACTAATTGAGTAACAGGCTTATAACAGATGTTTTTTTAAACTATAGGGGCAATACTTTTGTTAGGTCAACTGAAGCTTTACAAAATTACTGCAACATTTTGAGTTTTAAGAACTCATAACCATGTAATTTAGGAAAAATAAGAAAAGAAGAAAAATGTAGCCTATTTGGCACCCATGTATCACGCTTCCATACTTGCAAGGATTAGAGAAAGTCTTCAAATACCTGTATACTAATTGAGTCTATATCTGATGAAATTCGATTGTGATAAGGTCAGTCCCAAATCCTGTTACATAGTCAAAGCAAAAAAAAAAAAAAAGTTTGGCATCATTTAGATACATACACAGTCATTTCTTCATCAGCAGTATCCTGTTCAATAAACCTATTGCAACTGCACCAACTTGCTTCTAATGATTTTTAAGCCAACAATTTATTTTATCTTTTATATTTGCTAAAAGGATCCATTTGAAACCAAGCAATTATCCACTTGAAATTTTTTGGCTGTTAAAATAGGTAGTGGCAAAACTCTTTGTCTGATGACAGGATCTACCAAAGAAATGTTAAATATCTTCCTTTAAATTTGTCAGTTTAGTAAGTTAAAATTGTTATAAAAGCAGCAGAAGCCCCTTTGGAGTAGATTTCAGTATCTGTTAAAGGGATCATTAATCAGCCTGCAAACACTGGACTCCATGGAGTTCTCAAATGCCAGATGAATGCACTAGATAAAATTTTAGAAGCTAGACACATCTGATCTTCTGCCTACCCCTGAGGTCCAGAAACTTCTTATCCTATATTGCAGCCAGGGAAAAGTTTGGTTTTCAATTTAAGTGGGTTTACATTATTATATCAACTATTTCAGCGGAGGCACTGGGGATAAGCTGAGGCCTGATAATTTTTTTTTAATAATCTTGATCTTCAATCCTACAAAACTCATCTCTTAAATCAGTGAGAAAACTGGTGACTGGGTGGATGTGTCCAATCCAAATTAAGTTTCCATTGGAGACCAATTAAAATATATACAGTATGTTCACATAATTTTATTATATGTTTTTCAGTTACTTACCTTTGATATAGTTATGTCAGTGTACTCAGCAGTATACAAAAGATAAAATCAGGAAGAAGCACAACAGCTAAGACAAAAGAACAAAAAAAATCCTAAGAATTTACCTTTTCTTAGGAACTTACTAAAGCTTTACCTGTACTGCCCAATTATCTTGTCATCAGACAAGGCAAGCAGTCTTTCCGGAGGGCAGTAATGGATGACATCACCATCTATTTAATCTCTCACTCATCTTCAAAATGACCTCACAATGTTTTTCTCCATTCAACTTTTGAAATATGCTTTTTTCTATCTTCAAGTGACTGGGAAAAAATAGTAAAATGGTACACTCCTGAGGTTATTGAAGAAAAAAGAAAAAGAGGAGAAACTGCCTGTTCAACATAGAAATATAATAATTGAAGCAACATCAACAACAAAATTTGCCAGATTTCAAACCAGCATCTGTGCCTATGCTACATGAAGATTTTAACCACTGCTCTATTTAAGTACAGGTAGCTCTTGTTTAGACTGAGACCTCAAATGGGACTGGCAACTCAGTCATTAAGCAAAGTAGTCACTAACTAAAACCATGACTGTCTAATGATTTTACTTCAGCTTTCTTGTGTTTCACAGACCTGTGAAGGATATAATGCAGGCATTGCTCACAAAGTTATTACAAGTAACATGCCTAATTTATAAGTATACAGCAGTCAAACTGACAAATAAAAGAGATGATGACAGTGTCTGATATCAGCTGTACTTTAGTGGATGTGAAATGGGATAATATGCCAATGAATATCTATGGAGATTCTCAGTCATCCAGGTGATAGTTATCCCAAAAGTGCTTTTTCACAAGGCAATTGGTCAAGAAAGGCCAGCTGCCTCATGAAAAAGCACCTTTGTGATGCTAATGAATATATAGAACAGAATTAAACATTATGGTCCAATCAAAAAAGTTTACTAATATTTCCCCAAGGATAAATATTAGGTATGGTGGCTTTAAGAAGAGAATTAGGGAAAGTTGTTTTAAAAACTTGTAATTTTTAAGGAAAGTTCTGAACAAAATCAAAAAATGATTTTCAGCAGTTAAAAATGGAAAAATAAAATGTATGTTTTTCAAATTTAGCATGATTCACTTATTCCTATTATCAAGTATCCTATTACTGTCCAGCTTATTTTGATTGGTCATTATTAGCTGTGCTTCTTTACTTGATGGATCAAAATTCTTCTTTCTAAATTCTGGAGATTGGGCTATTTATTATATGAAATTAATTCATCTTGCTCTGACATGTAATGAATTTTATGTTCTACAAGACTGAGTATATTGAAACAAAAGACAGCGTTTTCATAAAGCAATTATCATATTCTCTGTGTTACCTGGCCATTTTATTTGGATCTTAGCCAATATGACCAAACAAAGCAGCCCCAGTGGTATGTTTTCATCAGACGATACAAAGCTATTGTAATTTATGCAGGTTTGGATTATATTTTCCAAATTGCCATCTCACGTCATCCTGGCCATATAACAAATAATAACCAATTAAAAGAGGAATCCATTGAAATAGCTCCATTTGTTTTGTGCCAATACTCTTTGTCATGTAAAAGAATGTTCCCACTAAAGATTTTGTTTGATCTTATTGCAAATTAAATCTCTTACCAGAACTTCTTTTCCAATGTAAGTAATTGTCATTTTCCAATTATCAATAGTTCCCTCATTTTGTTTTATCCTTTCATCAAGGAAATCCCCAAGCGTCATACAAATTTCCTACACATTAGTCACATTTTGTTACATCTAATGTTCCTGTTAGAATGAGGCATCAGTTCTAATCAGAGGCTATTCTCACAGAAAATATTTTATTTGTATTCATTTATCAGATTTCAGTTGATGTTTGGCAAAGTGCTTTGGATTAAAAGCAAACCATCAGTCCTCCCATACTGCCCTTTTCTTTGGAAGAGATTTGTGCATGTGTCCTATCTAGTGGTGGGATTCAGTAGGTTCGCACCACTTCGGCAGAATGGGTAGCTAATTTTTTGTTGCCCAGGACCAGAATGGACTTCCGGAAGCGGCATCCACACAGAAAACTGGTTGTTCACATATTTGAATCCCACCACTGGTCCTATCCTATATGATTAATTGCTAGGTATCTGATTTTGGTGAATAAACAGCTATGGAATTGTTGAGACCAAAAGAACTGAGCTCCCAGCAACCCTGCAAGAATGCATTTAGCTCTCTGAATTGAAGGTGCTATCAAAATATGGTTTTAAACATTCTCAGAGTGTTTCCAGTGTCATCAGTATAACTAACTGCCCTGGAAATCATTAAGTTTGAAAAGAAATGTTTGACTTGGACCAGCTGTAGTTAAAACATTTAGAAATCAGTGGCCTGCAGAAATTTATTGTTGGAATGGAAGTGGAAGCAAAGTAGTACAAGCAAAGAAGTTTTTTGTCTTAGTCCAATTCATGAATAAACCATGCTCTGCAGGACTTGAGAGTAATCAGTCTGAGGTTACAAGTGGGATCCTAGTGCAGTATTTCATACTAAAGATGAATCTTGTTAAAGACTTGTGTTCTGCAGGACTGGGTGTATTGAAAGTCAGGCTTTTCATATAGCAGTTATCACATTCAGTGTGTTATCTGGCCATGTAAGACCTCTAACCAAACCTCTTGGATAGGACTAGACATTGGAGACGTCTTCTCAGGATTGCCAGTTGTGGGAACTGAATTTTTATTGCGTGAATCAGTTATAAATGAAATATAAATGAAATAAATAAATAATAATAAATAAATAAATAAATAAATAAATAATAATAATTGAGCAATGGGAGATTTAGCTGTGGGTTGTTCAAATTCTTTTTTTTACCAGAAATAGCCTGCCTGTTGTGATTGGACCTCAGATTTTCTACATGCAAATAATGTAGACTGGAGTAGAGTCTGCAAGAGTGGGTTCCTTCCTGGAAACCTTTTAGATCTGCAAACTGTCTGTTCAGTCTAGTTCACTCAGGTACCATAGAGTCTTATTTCTGGGCAATTTTAATGTTTTATCTTCAGCAATATAGGATGAGAGATTTCATAAAATCACATTTAATGAGAAAAATTGTCCCACTGGCCAATATGAACGCAAAACCTTATAGTATGTATCTCTTCACTGTCTATTCTGTTGGAATTTATATGCTGGCATGCTGTGCTGCCTTCTAGCAGAGATCAAGCTTTCGATAAGGGAGAAATGCTTTATTTTCTACTCTGAGACCAGAACTCTGGTATTATGAACAAAATTGCCAAGTTCTTATGAGCAGCTATTGTCACAAGATGACTTAAGATATCCAAACCCTAGAACAGACCTCGGCATTTTGCAGTCCCTGGGTCATATCCAGCTGTTTGGCTGTTCCTGTCCAACCTGTGTGAGGTCAATTGGAAATTACAAATCAGATGTAAATAAGTGTACACCAGGCATGCAATACAACTTCAATTGCTTTTATTTTGAAGGTGACTGCTATTTTTTTTTCCAATTTACGAATGTGGAGGCATGCACAGGCATCTTCACATTGGTTCAGCCCTCCACAACATTCCCAGTTTCTCATGTGACTCCTTGGGAAAAATTAATTGTCTACCCCTGCCCTAGAATCACATCACAAAGAAGTCCTTTTATTCATTTATCTACATGCTGCTTTTATTGCATCTATTTTATTTTGTTCTGTTTTATTTTCTTCTGTTTTGTTTATTTCTTATATGTGTAAATGTTAATTGGAGGTCAGGTTTTAGAATTCTGATCAGATTTTGGCTGATTTGTATTCCCCTAATATATATTCACTTATAATCCTAAAGATCCTTTTCATTTTTATCTTTCAGTTGTGATGATGGCATTTTTTTTTTTACCAAGCAGCTGAATGTGAAAACAGTTTGAACATTATCTGTTGTATTTCCCCCCTTTTTGTTTTTGTTACTTTCCAGGGGAATGTGACATTTTCCTGTTCAGAACCGCCAATCACTCCCATCACTTTTGAGAGCTCCAATAGCAGTTACTTACTGTTACCCGGCACTCCTCAGATTGATGGCTTGTCTGTCAGCTTCCAGTTTAGAACGTGGAACAAGGATGGTCTTCTTCTGTCAACTGAATTGTCAGAAAATTCTGGCTCGCTCTTGTTGTATCTCCACCATGGCAGACTGATCCTCAACATCCAAAAAGGAGCAGAGAGATACGTGGGCATCAGTGCAGGTCTGGGTCTTTACCAGATGCATGTTTCCTTCTCATTTTTGTTGTTGTTAAATAAGGATCCTAGTTCGTAACAGAGAAATGGCACTCTTTGTTTTAAGTGGGAAAGCTAACCCTCAAACGGTCATTTGTTAATCCAAGCATAATACATGGTTTGCCATCTATTATAAAACTCCAATTTTCATTCATCTGAAGTGCAGACCCAATGTAGAAGGATGATGAAAGTTGAGGTTCAGTATTTATATGGCCAGACGCTGCTTTTCCTTCTTAGTATTTCTCTCCTTTCTAATACAGGGGTCCCCAACCTGTGGGCTGGGGCCCACTATCAGTCCGTGGCCTATTCACAACCAGACTGTGTGAGTGGCTGGCTGGTGTGCACACACAGCCCCACTCACACAAGCATCGTGGGCACTCGGGGGCCCTTTGGGCTAGCACTTGAGGCTTCACTCGCATGAGCATCACAAGTGCTCTTGGCCTCAGTCGTGTAAGCAATGCCCCTCCCACAAAACCATCCCCTCTTTCCCCGCTCTCCCCCCTCCAGGCCACCAACCCAAAACGATTGGGTTAATCTGTTCTAATGGATAGAATGCTGTTCATTTTTTAAACAATTTCCTGCTTTGTAGTTGATATCATAACAAATCCTTGCTTTGACATTATTCTGGGATGCAAAGATGACATTTCGAAAGACATCTGGCAGCAAATCTTCATTATATGCTCAGTGCTCAATTCTTGAATTCCTAAAGAAAAGCCTATCATTCTACTGAAGAAGCATAAGCATACACATACGCAAGAGCAAGAGAGTCCTGTGACATTTTAAATACATATCCCTTTATAGAACAGGGTTTTCATGGAAGGGCTCAGCTGTCTTAAATATATTTCTACAATAAATTTATTCTTTACTTCAACTACTTGGCTGGAATTCAAAATAGAGTCAAGTATTTATTACTATTATTATTATTCCTAAATCCCTGTTCCTATCAGAGCTAGGAGAGGGGCAACAGCAAATATTCATGGACAAGCTATAAATTATGGCCAGAGTAGGAGTCTCATCCAAACTATCAGGAAGGATTGAGGAGCAGAAAAACAAAAAAACAACAGATTAATATCAGAACTCAGGAAGCTTTATTCAAGCAAAGTTGAGAAGGAATAAGCAACCTTCTGCCTAATCCAGAGGAACCAATAACTCATTAAGGGACTGGAATTGCCCGAAACAGGTATCAGAGTGTTCCATTAAGTAATTCAGTATGCCAACAAATGAATATAAATTAAGTGAATGATAAGATCATAGATGTGGGTTTGGGAATTACCTTGGAGATCATCTAGTCCAATCTCCGTCTCAGTGCAAGAATCAAATATTATAGCATATTCAACCAATGGCCATCCAGCCTCTGATAACCATCAGGGAAAGATAGTTTACACTTCTTAAAGCTTTCTGTTCAACTATTGAGCACCTCTGATAGTTAGAATATTTTTTTCTGATGACCAATCAAAATCTATATCCTTGTAATTTGAATCCATTCTTACCTTCACTGCCGCTGCCCCTGCCCCCTCCATCTTCTGGAAGAACTCCATAATTCTACATAACCCTTCTTCAGACACTTGAGTACTACTCACAGTCTTCATAATATAATATAATCAAAATGCAGAATATGCTGCAGTAATGGCTTCTCTAGATCTTGAGATTACATACATATACATACATACATACATACATACATATACATACATACATACATACACACACAGTGCATACGTACATACATGTTAATGGAGTCTAGGATTGCATGTAGGAATGGGGTACATAGGTCACATTATTGGTTCATGTTCAGCTTATGATTGCTAAGACATCCAGATTCTTTTCCCAAGTTCTGTTGCCCAGCATGCCCCTCCATCTATACTTATGCCTTTGATTTTTCTTATGCAAATGAAGACATTTGTATTTGTCATTGCTGAAACTGAATTACTACAAATTTGAACATAACACCTACTCAGCAAACATTCTCTGGGGTGCATTGTGTGGGCTACTCCAATAGCTCCACAGTGACTTTATTGCTGAGTATCCAGTAGCACTTTAAACACACAAAAATGCCTCTCAATTTAGATCCTAAAACATTAACTGGGAAATAAGCTTAATTAGAAACAATGAAATTCCCATGGAATTGTGCAGGAATGTTATTTCATGGCCAACATGATGCAGCTGAGAATTAAATTAGATGGCTTCTTGAGAACAGATGTTATGAAAGTTCATGATAATCTTAATTTAAGGCAAAATACACCCACTCAACCTTTAAAATATCTATGTGATCTACATAATTGGTCGCTTCCATGTAATATCAGAGTTCTGTCAGCAGTGAGAATGCCCATAATCAGATGAACAAGACACACACAATTATCCTGCCTGTTCAGGATGGTTCTTATTTACAGGCTAAAAAACATGGCAAGTCCTTGTTCACATTATATATCCACAACAACAGCTTTCTGGATTTTAGATTGCTTATACCCTCCAGATTGGGGTGATTTGGCAAGTTGGCATGCATAACAACTTCAGATGAATGCCTGGGTCTTCAGACCATGCTGCGCTTATGCCAAACATTCCACTATTGGGTTTTGTTGCTTCCTGGAACGATCACTGTTATTCACAGACATTATCAATTCCTTTTGGTCCCCATGCGAATGGTTGATCAGGTTTATACTTCTTTGTTTCTTAGGCAACAATCTATATGACGGCTTGTGGCACTCAGTTAACATCAATGCCAGAAGACATCGCATCACCTTAACTCTTGATAATGATGTAGCGTCAGCTGTTCATGCTACCACCGTTTCCCAGATTTATTCAGGGCACAGCTATTATTTTGGAGGTAAGCTGTAATTGCAATACACTATTACATTTACTTTCCTTGTAAAGAAAAAAAAGCTATCATGTTTTAAGATTATTTTTGTTATTAAGAAATTATATTGCTTCCTGAAAGGTTAAGGGAAAAAATATTTATCTATCTGTCTATCTATCTTATTTCTACACTGTTAAACTTTGAGGGGCTTCACAGGTTAAAAACAGAATTAAAATTTTAACAAAATACAAAACAAACCCTAACATACAACCAGCCTATCGAGGGAAGCCACGAAAACATAACTCCGTTGTACCCACCACTAAAAGTGGAGGCCCCATCTCCACTCATTTTTTAAAAAATTTGTGTTCATACTGATGGCTGCCAGCCAACAAGATAGTAAGCTGGCTGCCTGCCACACTCCAGAGATATACAGACTCAGTCAGAACCTTTTAGAAGCAAAGAGTCCTTTTTACGTATAAAGATGACAAATGTAATGCAGTCAAGGCCTGGCATGAGTTGAGACCAGGAATCCAATAAACAAACAACAAATCCAAGGGAAAAGACAAGAAACACAGTGAAGTGGAATCTAGAGTCCCTAGCACAACAGCATGATCAGGTAAACACAACAGAGCTGAGGCTTGAAAGATTATTCTCAGCTTTTTCTCCATGGGAATGAGATCAATAAATCAGCCACGCTGAGCCTCCATCTAGCAATCAGAGTCTGCTTCTTGGCTGACCTCTCTGGCCTGTGTAGCTCAGCCCTCTACTTTCAGATCCTTAAGGCAGGGGTGTCAAACTGCCAGCCCGTGGGCCGGTTTTATCATACCGGAGCCATGCCCACCCCATTGCCGGCGATGGCAAAAAAGCTCCAATACGTTGCGCGACGTCACGTGACGTCGAGAGTTTGACATGTCTGCCTTAAGGCCTGCTTCAGTTTTGGACTGGATGGATGAACCTCAGAGTCTGAGAAGTTTCAGTGGGTGCAGGCAGGAGTCCTGGACCTTGCTGGATCTGCCTCAGCTGGAGCTCCAACCTAGCTGGGATCATCCCCTCCAGGAGTGTTATTTCTAGAAAGCCATGGGTGTATTTCCTCCTCTTTATCATCCAAAGACAGTCCAGCAGAGCCTTAATGCTGTACCCATATACTTTCAGGCCTAAAGTTACAGTCAAGTTTTCAAAGATCATTTGTAGGCAAGTAAGGTGGGGGCAATGTGGATCTCTGGTTGGGAGGGGATGCTATTCTTAAAGTGTTGTTGCTACAACCCAAAAGGCCTGCCTCCTGGGTCTCATTGGATTATACTCTTTAACTGATGGGACTTGGAGTGAATAGAATGGGTAAAGACTAGAGGAGAGAGGGAATCCTTTAAGTATGCAGATCTTATTTCATGGAGGGCTGGTTATCGCTTATAAATATTGGGGACTTCAAGTGTTAAAACATTTGCAATATAAAGAGAAAACAAAATATGTCTCATACACACCCTATGAAAACAAGAATTGGAACAAGAGATAGGCAGAGAGATTGATTGGTGGACATTTACACAAATTCAGTCTAAATATACAGAGGACAAAAAATTATATGAAATACAAAAAGAGCTGCAAGAATTGGATAAAATTATACATGGAACAGAAATAAAATTAATTAGCAATATATACAAATACCTATTGAAATATAAAATGGAAGATGAGGTTGTTAAAGACACAATGATTAGATGGGCAAAAAAATTCGGATATAATATAGAATTGGAGAAATGGGAAAAAATATGGAAAATAAATATAAAATTGACTATGTCAGTGGCATTCAAGGAAAACCAGTTGAAGATGTTTTACAGATGGCATCTTCCACTAGCAAAGCTTGCCAAGATGTTCCAGAATAATTCGC